TGGCAGGGCGTGGCGGGGCGCGCAAGAAGGCCAAGAAGCACGGCAGCTACGAGGAAAAAATTGCGTGTTCCCGCGGGACCGCACAGCCATCACGTTAGAAAAAAAAATACAAAATAAAAAATACGTAGTCGGATAACGCGCTGCTCGCAGGCTTCGCAGGTAGCAAAGGTCAGGCCAGGTCGGAGTCACCTACCTCAACCTTAGCTTGCCTCGGCTTGCCCTAGCTCCCCCGCCTTTCCACCTGCTCGGTGAGGTAAACTCACACATAAAAAGAGATCACACGTATAAATAGCGCAGGGCCCGCTTGGCTTGGCCGGCTGGAGGCACTACAATGGGGGGGACGGGGCGGTCCTGCATCATGGGACACCTCTCCTCGTCCCTTTCATGGCCAAGGCCTCGGTCCCCTCCGGCTTGGCCCGCGAGTCCTTCTTCGGGGCTCGCGCTATTCAAAAAGGGCCGCACTTGGGCGGAGACGGGCCGACGGGCACACCGACTAGACGGCACACCGACGGGCAGGTCGGGGAGTGGGACTGTGGGACAGGAATCTCCAGTAACACCGTCAACTGAAGCGCAGCGGCCGCCGCGCGGTGCCTACACTGTCAGGCGTTGCAGGCTCGGACTGGCCAGGGCAGACCGGCAGAAAAATCTGCCGGGGCCTTCGGGTTTGGGACCAGTAACGTCACGAAGTTGGTCAAAAAGTTATTCAATCTCCGAAAGTAGCCGTTTTCGCTGATTTTGGGCGGCCACTGCGTCCGATCTAGTTGCGGCCAATGGCCTACCTCGACGCCCTGTAGCGGGAAGGCGTTGACCACAACGATTTTGGCTTTGACCGCAACGATTTTCCGACCAAGTTGGTCAAAAAGTGGTGGAATCTCGGAAATTTGCTGATTTTGCTGACTTTGGGCGGCCAATGTGTCCAATCTAGTTGCCGTAAAAGGCCTCCCTCGACGCCTTAGTGTTCTTAAGACCCTACTCTTTCACGCCCTATAGCGGGAAGGCGTTGACCACAACGATTTTGGCTTTGACCGCAACGATTTTCCGACCAAGTTGGTCGAAAAGTGGTCGAATCTCGGAAATTTGCTGATTTGCTGACTTTGTGTGGCCACTGTGTCCAATCTAGTCGCTGTAAAAGGCCTCCCTCGACGTTCTAGTATTCTTAAGACCCTACTCTTTCATGCCCTGTAGCGGGAAGGCGTTGACCACAACGATTTTAGCTTTGACCGCAACGATTTTCCGACCAAGTTGGTCAAAAAGTGGTCGAATCTCGGAAATCTGCTGATTTGCTGACTTTGGGCGGCCAATGTGTCCAATCTAGTTGCCGTAAAAGGTCTCCCTCGACGCCTGAGTATTCTGAAGACCCTACTCTTTCATGCCCTGTATCGGGAAGGCTATTGACCGCAACTAGTTTGGGAGCGGTAGCCTCCCAAAGTTGGTCATGAAGGGTAAAAACATTATGATCGGGAGCCTTTTGCGGTCTTATCCGCCCGGGCCTTTTGGGGGCCAGGCCGTTGCAGTTAACTTGCAAGTGGACTGGCAGTACAGGGGGAATCAGAACGTCGTCTACAGTATTCGCAGCGCAGGTGCACCGCGGAGCGTATGCATGGGCCGGCAGGGCCGTGGACGACGGCGTCGCTGATGACATTTGCAGTGCAGGGGACGCTGGTCCGCTATTTCCGTACGCCTGTCGGCCCAAATCGATCAAAGGTCGCGCCAAAGCGACGAGTCCGACGGACGTCCGCCTGCGTCCGCCTCGGCCTGGCCTGGGGAGCCGCCGGGTGCGTCCTCGCCCACAACACCGCAGCGAGTTCAGGTGCAAATTTAAACGGGAAGCCTGCCGCGCCGCTCTTTTGTTTCGCTTCGCTCGTTTTGTTTCGGCGGTGGTGGAGCTTCACGAGGGCCTTCACGACGAGTACACACTGCGGGGGAAAGAAAGGCTCGAGACTTCGGCCCGTAAACAAAGCGACTGCTCAATCTCTCCCCTCCCCTCCTCCGCCTCCTCCATCTTCTTCTTCTTCCTCCTCCTCGCGGTGGCGGCGGTGGCCGCGTTAGTGAAGTGGCTGAAAAGGGCCCCAACTGTCGTTGAGGCCGGCGGGCAAGGCGGGCAAGGCGCGGGGCGCGGCGAGAGGGGAAGGGAAGGGGGTAAACTGTCTGGGGGCGGGGAGACTGTGGGGAGACACTTGACGCGGACGCGTCCAGTTGATTGTGCTCTGCACACGAGTACACTGCACTGGACTCGCACACACCGACACACTCACGCGCACACACACAAGCGCGCGCGGGCGCGGCTACACTCTCCGAAACACTGCGATGGCACGGCCAATACGGGAGGCTGGAGGGGACCTGGCGGCAGGCGGGCCCGGCGGAGCGGCGGAGCTTGGCGGGGACCACGCGACGATTTGGGGCATCCGGCCCTACGCCGCAAAGCGCTGCCAACTGTTCAACTTGCACACTCACTCACACACACACACACACTCACACACTCACGCTCACATTCACACACAAACGCGCGCGAAATATGCCGCGCCTGGACTACTCGACGCCACGCATCTGGCCGAACGGGCGAGGTGGTGACGCCGAGGACGCGCGGTGGTCGCCCCTGGCCCTAGCCCCTGGCCTGCCCTGAGCGTTGGCAGGTTAGCACACTGCAAACGAAATCCGCGTTGCTCTCGCTCCGTGTCGTTACATCGTGGCGAGTTTCCTATCGACGTTTTCAGCACACTCACGCCGTCTGAGTCACTCACACACTCACACACGCGCGCTGAGTGACGGAGCGTGCACTGCGCTCGCGTGTCGTGGGCGTTGGAGTGGAGGCGGCCTCGGCCTTGATCGAGAATACCCCAATCACGGCGCGAAGCTCGAACTCGAAGCTCGAACTCGAAGCTCGAAGGCCCGTCAAGGCCCAAAGGCTCAAGGCCCCAGGCCCACCCATCCCGGCTGACCGGTGTTGACCAGCGCAGCACGAAAACAATTGAGAGAGAGAAGGGACAGCCGGAGAGAGAGGCAGAGAGACGCAGCGAGACGCGCGGCGCCAGCAGGTACGTACTACCTCGCAATCGCACAAAAGACCACCTCCTAAGCCATTGTTCCCGTTTTTGGGCCTCCCCATCCTCGATGTATCGATGCGGCGCTATCGCTTCGGGCCAGTTCATTAGAGACGCATCATCGGCGACAAGGGGTCATCTTCCATGGAAAAACACACACACACACTCGGCAATCGCTCCTCTTCCACGAAAAGACACACACGCGGCTCCCGTATTTTGCAGGTTTGCCTCTGCCAGTGGGGGCAACAAGGCTCAAGCCGAGCTGATTACGGGTTGTTAGGAAGCAGCGGGTGTAATAATTACAGCGTTTCCGTCTTGTCACGGTGTCGCTGCTGTGTCAGCCCAGGTAAGACGCGCCGTGTGTCCGTGCTCGGGCATGTTTGTTTCGTGTGTGTGTGTGTGTGTGTGTGTGTGTGTGTGTGTGTGTGGGAAAGGGGGGCTGGAAAGGGAGGGGGGGGGGCTTTGAGACGGAGAGAGCGCGTTGTCAGTGCGGAGAGCGCGGACCGAGCAGCCATCGGAACGGGAAAGCCAGGCGAAGCACAAACCCATTAATCAAACAGCGCCGTCATGCATTATCTCATTTATCTGCAAAAGCACACATACACCCGAGTCTCTGGAGGAGCGGCTGCCCACTGAACTTGAGAAATATAATTTATGCTACGCGCCGCGGTGGTGGCGCCCCGACGGCAATGTCGCGCTGACTCCGTCCGTCCGTCCGTCTGTCAGTCCGTCCGTCCGTCAGTCCGTCTGTCCGTCCGTCAGTCCGTCCCCCTCATTACCACCGAGTCAATGAATGCGGCGAAGACGGACGACCCTCCCCGTCTGCGTGTCTGCGTCGTCGCCGCCGTGACGGATACCGCGGCACGCGTGACCGGCAGCGCGATAGGTGCACAGTGGGCCAGAAGACCGGCACCGACGGCCAAAACTCTAGACGCGTTTTGAGCTCCAGAGTCGCTGAACGGGACTCGAACCGAGACCCCACCAAAGGACTCTTCGTCCGGAGAGCAATCCGTTGATGGGGTCACATGTTCGGTTCGAGTCCCATTCAGCGACTCTGGAGCTCAAAACGCGTCCGGGATTTCGACCGCCGCCGCCGGTCTGCTGGCCCACTGCGAACGCACTACAGTGTCGGAGCGGCGCCGCGGATACACGGAGCGCCGCAGTTGCCGCACAGTGAAGCGCGAAAAGCGTTTATGGCTATTGCTCAACATTGTCATACCTTTACATCCGCCCGTAATGTAGCGCGGCATTGCTCCCGGAGACGGGCGGAGACGGGGCGGTTGGAGCGGACGGGGTTCTCGCCGCCGCGGCCGTCGCTCTGGTGCCGCTTTTCATCCCCGACAATGTTGCCGGGCGATGATCAAAGTGCCGGGGTTCTCGGAGCAGCAGAGCCCTCGCTCTTTCTGGCATTCCCTCCCCTAATCTGCGTGAACATCTCCGGGGAGCGTTCGAAAAACTTCTTCCACTGTGGCGCCGGTGGCCGGGCCGGACCGTGCCCGTCGGGAGGGAAGTGCTCCACCTGGGCCGCCGCCTCCGCCGCCTCCGCCGCCCCCGCCAAGATTAGGCTGCCGGACCAAGTTGATCTCGACAACCGCACGGGCTGCGCGGCGCACAGTGGGCCAGAAGACCGAGAAGACCGGTGGAGCGGCCAACATTCGAGACGCGTTTTGAGCTCCAGAGTCGCTAAATGGGACACCAACCGACCGTGTGACAACACCAATGGATTCCTCGTTCGGAGAGCAATCCATTGGTGGGGGTCACACGTTCTATTCGAGTCATAATTAGCGACTCTGGAGCTCAAAACGCGTCTAGAATTTTGGCCGCCCCACCGGTCTTCTGGCCCACTGTGCGGCGGGCTGCGCGGTGCATGCAAAGCACCCACTCCCGCCGATGAGCTCTTTTTCGCCGACCCAGTTCCTCGGGAAAGGCCAGTTAGGTCCGATTATCAGTTTGCCTCACCTGCGAGGACGACCGCCGTCTCGAACACCACCTTCCTGACGTTAATCCCAACTGCCGGCATGGCGGCGCGCTGCTGGTCTTCCCGTTGCACCGTTGCACTCCGCGCACCGCACTGTCACTTCGGCGCCTTCGGCGGCCGAGGTCCGTGGCCGGTCGAGGTCTGTGGCCGGTCGAGGGCGATCCGATCGGCACTCGAGCGACGCGACCGGCGAGCGAGCGACTAACCTAACGTCCGCGTCGACCGACTTGAGCAACGCGCCGCGCTCGTGTGATGGTTGGTGATGCTCCGAGGCGCGGCGGCGAGGCGACGCCCGCGCCGGCCGGGTCTCGTTCCGAGTTGCCGCCAGCTCGCCTGCCAGCTCGCCTGGCCGCCGGCCGCCGGGCCGCCAGGCCTTTCGCAGCGTAATGCTGCCGCCAGCTCGGCCTGGCCGCCTGTTTACCGCCCCCCTCCTCCATTCCCATGCAGCGTGGCAGCGTGCAGCAGAGCTTTGCGTCATTTATTCTCATATCAGACCGGGCGGGGCGGGGCGGGGGTCATGTTTTACGGGACAGTGTCTCCGTCGCGGACCGCTGCAGGTATTGTTCCCACCCCTCGGGCGACGCCGCGACGCCGCGACGCCAGGCGACGCCGACGACAGGCTCCCCGCGGTGCCGCCCAGCGTGCCGCTCGCCGCGGACAAGACGCTGGCCGTGTTCCTCAACAGTGGACCGGCCGCGACAATAACCAGCAACAGTGGCTCAGCCGGGGCCGGGGGGAAGGGGCCCGGCGATCCCGAAAGGATTGTTTCATCGCTCTGTCTCTGTCGCACTCGCGGGGCGTCCCGCTGCGTCGCGAGAGAGACGGCGGTGATAAGCCTTCGGTACCGCTCGTACCGCTCGGGCTCGGTCAGAGGTCACCACGTGTGGGATGCGGCGGGGCCCCGCGGGGGTCAGAGGTCACGCGTTCACACACACGTGCGGTTGCAGGGGCGGGCTTTTTCCGCGAAGGAAAGTGCAGCACTGGCAGTTCAAAGCTCGGCCTTTTTGTCGTGCCGTGGCCGTGCCTGGCCGTGCCTCACGCGCGTGCGGCCCGTGCGGACGGCTCGGCTCGGCGCCCCCGCGTCTCGCGTGTCCATCTTCATCGAGACGGCCGGGAGGAGGGACCCCGCCCGCCTGGCCTGCGCGCGACCTGCACTGCCAAAGTCTGTCGAACCGACATTCACGCGCAAACACATCAAAGTCGCTTCACGAATCTTAGTTTTAAAATAATTTCTGGGTTCCAAATTTTAATTCCGCTGGCCTACCAGGGCTTGCCTGGTGGAAGAGGTAATCTTAGTCCATCACTCGTACGTATTTACACCGCCCCCTCCCCGCATCGATGACCCCAACACAAATATCCTGCTTGGCACCTCGCGGCCCGAGAGGACCTGCTACCTGGCATCTTCATTATTTGAACTATATTTCATTTCGATTTCTCCCCGTGCAATGTATTATCCGCGCAGAAAGCAAACTGTTTTTCACGCTCGTTACTCCACGTTATTTTCCCAAGTTTTAATGGCACTCGAGATGCGCGCTTCGGCGGATGCAACGTGCGTGGGAGTGACAAACGCGCGACGCATGCAACGGCCCCATTACGCGGCCACGCGCACGCACACTCACACACACACACACACACACACACACACACACACACACACACACACACACACACACACTACGCCCTCACTCACACCACACACACACACGCAACAGTCCGTTTGTCCGTCGGAACAGGTTGGCACGTACTCCTGTTTCGCCGCCATCAGACTATCGTCGGCGACATCTCGGCGGCCGTTTGACCGGCCCGAAATTAATTCGGAGCGACTACACTGTTCCACCGAGGTGGGCGGCCGGGGAGGGGGGGGGGGGGGGGGCGAACACATGTGTCTGGTAAAGTACACAGCACTCGTGATTACGTACTATCGAAGGGGCCATGTGCCCACGCGGCTTTCGTTCACGGCGCGCCGCGCCATGGGAAAGCCTGGGAAAGCCTGGGAAAGCCGAGGGCGAAAGCGCGGCGCGGCTTCGATTAGTCAGCTTCACACAGCGCCTCGGCTCGCCTCGGCTTGCGTCGACAGACGAGGAAAATGTTGGTGAACGGTGCAACGACCCAGCCAGCAGCACTGCGGCGCACAGTGGGCCAGAAGACCGCGGAGACGGCCAGCCAAAACTTCAGACTCGTTTTCAGCTCCAGAGTCGCTAAATGAGACTCGAACCGAACGTGTGACCCCACCAATGGATTTCTCGTCCGGAGAGCAATCCATTGGTGGGGTCACACGTTCGGTTCGAGTCCCATTTAGCGACTCTGGAGCTCAAAACGCGTCCGGGAACTTGACCGCCTCCACCGATCTTCTGGCCCACTGTGCTGTGCGGCGGCGCTCCGAATCCACTTGATCCGTCCACGCGAACTAAGCGGCGCAGCGTAACCCGCGCACCGCGCACGGCGCGCGCCCAGCCACCGGTAAACGCGATAAGGCTGCGCGGCCCGCACGGTGCACGCTTGGAGTGCCCGACGGCGCGACGGCCCGCACGGGACCGAATGGGGGGCGCGCGAGGCGACGCGGTGGAGCATCGCGGAGCCGCCCTCACGTCCGGCAGTAACCCAGCAACCCAGCGACACGTCACCGAGTGCGTCGCTCTCACCAACCGCACTACCTCAACCCCATCCAACCTCAACCTCTCTCTGGGAAGAGCCCGGCCGGCTGTTCGGTCTGCAGAGGGCCTTTTCCTGCCGCCCTCACTAGTTTACGTCATTCATTCACCGCCCCCGACCTGCCGCGCGACCTGCCGTGCCAGTACGTGTATTGAAGACGGGGCCGAAAAAGAAAAGAACAACAACAAAAATAATTAAACATGGGAAAAAGCCCTCTGGAGGCGGGGCCTGAAAGGGGAAGGCCTGAGTCCTGGGGACCGCTGGACGGACGCAGTGGCCGCGCCAAATCAGCCAGCTTCGCAACTTTCACCGATCTGTTGACATTTGGAGCAACTTTGCGGGGCTGCTAAACTATGTGCGGTCAAGTCGTTCCCGCATTCGACGGCAGTGCACTCGGCGAACGGCGGTCGCTGGATGTCGGCGAAGTGTAGTGGAACACGGCCTTCGGCGAGGCCTTGGCGCCGCCGGGGTGTCGCCGACAATCAGTGTGACGCGGGGCTGCCTGCCCTGCCTGCCCGGCCTGCCCTGCCCGCCCTGCCGCGGAGGATAGTGATCAGGGCAAGGAATGCTGAGCGTCTCTAATTATAGGTTCCCTCGGTACGCCCCGCCCCGCCCCCGCGCGGAATGTGTCACGGCGTCGGCCGGAGAGTTTTGTGGCTCTGGGAACTCCGGGCGGCGCGGCACGCGGTCAAGCAGTCCAGCATCGCCGCAGCGTTGTTTGCGAAATGCAGTGGACGGAGTCCATCGGACGGGGTGAGCCTCCGCGGTGGTGCCGCGATGCTGTGACCCCAAGCCATCCCAGACCAGCCCTGCGCGTGGTGTCGTTTCGTTTGCCCGCTCCTCCGTTTCTGCGCCCAAATAGTGCGTCTATTTAAAAGTCCCCCCCGCGCGCTCCGCTCACATTACCGACTTTTTAGAGGAACCGAAGAATGAAGAAAAAGAGAGAAACGCGCAACAAACACATTCTCCACGCGACGCGCCACTGTACTGTGTTCACTTGCGTGTGCCGGGCCGTGCCGGGCCCCGCATTGTTTGCTGCGGCAGTTATCGGAACGATAATCTGGTTATGTTGTTGTTTGAAACTAAAACGGTCAGCGGGCGCTTCCGGTGCGGAAACGGATCGGGGCGTTGTCATGTCAATAACAGTCAGGTGCGAGGCGTGTCATTGCACCGCATTGCACGGTGTACTAGCCTGGAGTGCCACGCGCTCGTTGCAGTGGAGTCGAGATGCACTGCTGATGTCATCTACCCTTCCCATGCGCACACACACACGCACACGCACGCACGCACGCATGCACGCGCACACACACACACAGACACACACAATGCATTTTACCAAAATGTGTCGCAATATATACTCCGACACTAATCCTGTCTCTGTCATTCCTTCCCCTTTTGGCCTCCCCTCTTGCTCTCGGTCCCCTCCTCAACTCCAATCCCGTGTCTCCCATATCTCGCCCCACCCTACCTGCTACTGTGTCGCCGCCACGGATGCGTCGTCTGGAAGTCAACTAAACAGATAACCATCTCCACACATAGTATTCCGTCAGCCGCGACGGACGGTACCAGTCCGGACGGAGGGGTTGCGACGTTGTGACACAGGATGACCTGCGTGGGAAGCGAAGCGACGGACAATCGTGTCTCCGCCTATTTGTCTGCGTGTCTGTCTGTCTGTCCGTCTGTCTGCCTGTCCGTCTGTCCGTCTGTCCGTCCGTCAGCGTTCTCCCCCTTCCTCCGAGAGGAGAGTGGTCGTATGCGATCAGCGAGGTGAGGCGCGCAGGAAGGGGACAATACGTGTCACACTCACGGACACACACACAAACACACACCCACACAAACACACACACACACCTACACACACCACCTACACACACTACACACGCAACGACCCGCGCGCGCGCAGATCCGGGCGAGTATACAGCTCCCTCTCTCAGAAATTTAAATGCCAACGATATTCATAATGCAATATGCCTTGCTCGCGTTCCGAAAAGAATGCCTCTTTTCACACATACATTCCACTACGGCAGGCAGGGGTGTGGCACGGCGTGCGGGCGCGACTTCCCCATTCTACGAGGCCTTTTATTTTCCTTGGGTGTGTGTGGCACACTGTGTGCGCAGAAAGTGTACGTGTCGAGGACAGTTTCGCTGGGAAAACGCTCTCTTTCGAAGGCGTTTCCAGAAAAGCCTCGCAACAATAACACAGTTTGTGAAAAGGAGAGGCCCGCGCCCGACGGCCCATGTGCGCAAATTGAACGCGCATCAAAATGCCGTTAGAAAGAAATTAAACGGCCGGCTGCCGTGGCTCATCCACTTGAAGCCCGCCGGATTAGGGACGCCGAGGCTGATGAGACAAAGACGACCGAGACCACATAGCTGGGGCTAGGGTTAGGGTAAAGGGGGGGGGGGGGCTGAGGGCTCGGTGAAGGGAAACGAATATGTCCCCGCGCCGTGACACGGCCGACACGGCTGCTGCTGAATCATGAAGAAGACGCTCCGAAATGCGCCAGAAGACGCGGTCGGTCCGCCACGTTTCGAGTCAGCATGGTGCAGTGGGGATAGAGGCATCCCTGCACCTGAATGTCAATCCGAACGCCGATAAACTGCTTCCTCCGGGACTCTGCCATCGGGC